GCATTATTACAAGGATGTTACAGAACCCAATTTGGTAATTAGGCTTTTAGAAATTTATAATAAATTAATATATGGTCTCCTGCTGCCCAGCGCACTGGATGTTTATTCAAATAATTTGTTCAATATTTATTTCGATCTTTCCTTAACACAATTTACATGATATTTTTAAGAAATTTCTCAAACAGGAGAACTTCATGAGCCCTCTTAGTAGAGCCCTCTTTGGAACATGATGATTATTCGATATCATTATTTCCGAGATATCAAAATGTGTTCCTAAAAATGTTATCTTTTAGTTTTCATCCTGACAATATTAAATTGATATCATTTGACATGATATTACAAAGAGAACATTTTCAAGAAATCTCTCAAACGGGATAACTTCAAGAGCTCTTTCAATAGATGTCTCGGAATATGATGATTATTAGATATCATTTAGACATCATTTCCGAGATATCAAAATATATTCTTAAGAAAGTTACCTTTAAGTTCCCTTTCTGACAAGCATGTTGACTGGGTATTGGCCAAAAGTGGATTTTTATTCTTTATCTATCATTAACGCTCTCTTTCTATTCTTCATTTTTTTATTATTCCTAATATTTTGATGTTTAATATTTAATACATTTGTATGTAATTTAAATATTTGTATAATTAATAGGTGCGAGAACGAAGTGCGCGAACGGCGAGAAACGACAAACAGCATAAGCATAAGTTTCACGCCGGCCGTCTGCTCTTTCTTTCCCGAGCATGCATCTGCTGCCTCTTTCTTCCCCGAACGATAACTATAGTATACGCGACCGACATATATTATAGCTCGGTCGAAGCGCGTACACGGTTGCTTGCCGTATACGCGTATCCCCTGCGCGCCGTTGTCGAGCCTGTGCTCACGGACTCGGTCGCTCGATGTGTGCGTGGCCTACGTCATGCTATAAGCGGAGTAAAACTGTGCATACTGGACGAGGGTCGAGCGCAGTTACCTCGCCGCGAGTCAATACCGCGCGCCGCCGCCACCCGAGCGAGCTACGTTCCCGGACTCCGCGTACCGACCGCCACCCCGCGCGTCGAGGCCGTCGACAACCATGCTAGCCGAGACTCGATCCGATTTTAAAACACGGGACTCGGGGCTTGGTCGTGCGAGGGAGCGTCCGCGAGATACCGAGACAGCGAGCCGTCCTGAGGCGACGACCCCGCGGGCTCCCGCGAGGGCGCACCGTCCCTCGGCCGCCCGGGCGGGGGTTGCGGGGGCGGGGGCGAGGGATGAGACTGCGCAGGATACTGCGGAGGCCTCTACCTCGAGGTCGGAGTCGCGGTGCAGTGTCTGCGCGAAGTGTTGGAATTGTGACGCGACCAGCCATTTTTCGCGTGACTGTCGCGAAGCCCCGCGTGTCCACTGCTACTGGTGTGGACGCGCGCAACAAACGGTGCGAACGTGCCCGGCGAAAACGAAAGAGGAAAGCGGTAGATCGGGTCCCTCCGTCTTCTCTCGATTCTGAGGCCCGTGAGAAAGAGCGGAGAGTTGTCGGATCATACGGGGCGCGTCACGTAAGCGGGCGTGCGTCCCTGCAGTATTTAGAATTTTTTATTGGCGAGCAATGTCTTCTCGGACTGATCGATACCGGTTCGGATCGATCGGAACCATTTTTGGCGAAGATGGTGTCGAACTAGTCCAAAGTTTGGGACTGCCGATTTCCCGCGATCTCGATTCTCGAATTCGCCTTACAATCTGCGACGACGAGCATGGAGACCGCACCTCGGGGAACATATTTGGAAACGCGAGCATGTACTCTCCAACAAAGCAGCCGACTTCGCCGCCAAACTTGCGCCGCGCTACATCGGGCCGCACGAAGTACGAGCCTTCCACTCCCCCGACATAATCGATCTGCGCGACCAGCAAGGAAGATGGTACCGCCGTATACATATTCAGGACCTTAAGCCGGGACCGCCGAATGAACATAAGGACAAACAGGACAAGACCGTAAACACGATCCGCACCACAAGCCACCAGTATAAAAGACACACGAGGAAAATAACGCGTTTCAGTTTCTTGTAGGATGACTCGCAGAGAAGATCGCCAGAATCAGCTGCTTGCCGACCTCGCGCTCAGCAGCAACGAGGACGCTCCAATTGGAACGGTCGACCTGACGCCGCAACCGATACGACGAGTGCTGACAATCGGAACGCGAGTCCAGCGCTCCGACCACATCAACCGGAACATGGCTCACCGCCCCTCTGCCACCAACACCAAAGACACGGAGCACGAGCAGCGACAACCGGCCACCGACGAGATCGCGCGGAAGCCTGGGACCCCCCGCACCTCGTGCCGCCAGTCGCTGACCGAGCCGAGCGGGCAGTTGCGCCGCAATACGGGTACACACGGCACGACGCGACGCCGAGGAACGACCGCTACTGGGCGTCCGTCCGCCACCAGCCGAGGCCAGCAATTACGCCGCACCACCAAGACCAGGGTCACCGGCCCCGCTAACCGAGCCGACCACCAGGCAGTGATGGATTTTGGCAAGATATTCGCCGTCCCAGGAAGCTTCGTGCGTATGCGTAAGCTGACGTCACAACTAGAAATCAGCTGCGTTCAGAAATGTATCTAGAGTGCAGTAGTAGGTGCTATAAGGGGCCCTTGTATTGTTCTCATGTGTGTTTATAAACAAGTGTCAACGTGTACTGAGTGAATAGCTGAAAAAATAATAAATTTGTTAGAACAAAGAAGGTGGATGATCTGCAGCAGCCGACATCAAGTGGCATCGAGAAAAGGAGCAAGAAACCAAAAAGGAGAGTATTCCAATATTACAGTAAATAACAAATATGTCAATTTCCTTATTATTATTCATATTACTTGCACTCTATTCTTATCAAAACAATTTTTCTTCCTCCCGCTAATTCCTTCACATTTCTTTTTTCGCAGGGCCCTAACGATACCTCAGATTCGACGAAAGTATATACGTCAGTGAGGACTCCGAGCGTTTGCTCTGTACGCATACGCGACACATATCTTGCCAAAATCCATCACTGCTGTGGCCATGTGCGCATTGCCACAGAGCATATTCGTGTCAGTAGACCATAGAAGGATAAGGGCATACTAGGTGGCGGTTATATACAGTGTGTCCCATAAGTTCGGCAACGGCAAGAAAACTCGGCAGGGGAGCATTTTAGAGAAAAATGTTTCGAATAAAAGTTGTAAGGCTTAAAAAGTCGCATTTAATGACAGTAGTTATTTGACCTAAGATGACGTCACCA